GACACCTTCTTCAAGCAATAGGTCCTCATACCATTTAATATTACCCTTGGCTCGAGGATGATCTGGCGCTAAATAATAAAGAATAATTGTCTCTGCTAAGGGAGTACTGTGTTTACTAAGTATGTGCTTCTGTATTGGAAATTATCAAAATATAATGGTGCAAAAATGTTGAATTTTCTAGAAGCCAATTTCATAGAAACCTATCCGGTAAAGCTGATCAGTAAGCCGTAAAGCATGTTTCAAATTGCCTTGTTTGTATAAACCAAATGCCAAATATTCCAGAACATCTTCGATATCGGCTGTTTTCTCCTTTTCGCCTACTAAACGATCCAAAGCTTCTTGCATCCACAATACGGTATGATAAAAATCTTCACTAAGATATGCAGCTCGACCAATTTCGAAGCAATCTCCAGCTAAAAATTTTTTGCCCATTGTTGAACAGTGACAAAAAATTGGTTGTTACTGTCAGTGGGTTCGGCAAAGAAATATTCGTAAAAGTAGCTGGAGATTAACAAATACCGGTCATCGCTTTGGTTCTTTGACTTTTAATGATGCCATTAGCGATGTCTTTAGTATCAAGGCGATATGTGTCTTGTAATCGTAGAAGTGCAGTTGCTACACCTGTTAGATCTTCCTATGGAAAGAAGGTTAGATGTCAGTGGTTGTAGAATACCTAGGAAACTTTAAAAGACTTAAGAAAGAAAAGTTCGGAAAACCAATTACCTCTGTTGGGCGTTGGATACTATTAGTGTGACGACTGGTTGTGACATTCTGTTTAAATTCGGCAGATTTGTCGCTCTTCATGAAGTATTTCACATCATTCCAGTTTTCAACAAGTTGTTTTATTGTCAAAAATGCGTCTACCGGATTGTTCAATGAATCAGCATTAGCACTCTCAGAAGCGGCTGCATTATTTGACTTTTCAACCTTTTCAATAAACCTGAACAACACCTTTGATAACAGCAAAGCAGTAGCATTGCCTATCAAAAAAATTGTTTAATTAGGCTAAACGAAAATATTACCGTTTGAGCTGTTCAATTCTTGCTTTCTCATTACTAATATAATTTTGAATGAGTTGCGGAATATCCTTTTCAATATCTAACAGTGATTCCATATGAGCCATAGACGTAAAAACATCAGATAACACGCTTCCAATTTGCGTTAATAACATAAGTAATAAAACTGCTAACTGATAATTCATCTCCAAAGATAAGTCTTACGAAAAAAATTAAACCTTCAAAAAAAAAAATGAAATATTTCAAATTGAACAAAATTTAACGTTGCATTTATTCGCTGATAAGCTATTAACTCAGCAATCAATAAAATTGTCATGCAATCAGAAATATAGTAATATAAATTTAAGAAAAATTTTAAAGACAAAAAAATCCTGTTAATGCTGAATATTTGTGACAATAATTACTCATAGTTGTTTAACAAATATAAAATAATTAATATTTCTACAGATAATCGTTACAAAGAGTGCTTTTCGGCTGCAGTTACGTTTTAACTCCATTCTTTCAAGTTTTTTAAGCTCTTTAGCAATTATTTCTTTTTGAAAAGTAGGTTCTACTCTCAATTTTTTTTTTGAAAAATTATATGAAGAAAATTTTCCTTGTCCGAGTTTCTTCTAAGAACATAATGTTAAAGCAGATATCAACTATTAAAGTTCCAATAACTAATGCCTATAAATGAATGAGACGTATCCAGTAATTAATATGAAATTTTCTTCCCTGCAACTGCTTGTAAACGAGCATTTTCGACAAAGTACTTAAGGCGAACCTCTGAGAAAGTATTACGCAAAAAAAACTAGAGATAAGAAGTTTCAATTCAGTGAGTAAATGGAACATTGATTGTGGTTAATAAAGGTGAACAATACTTTGTTAAGATAAACTTAATTGACCAAACAACTTTACAACTTGGGTTGTGCATGAGCACGGTACTTACGACTACTGAGGACAACTCTTTTGCAGACATGTGGTCTTCCGCAGTGTATTTAAATGAGAGAAGACTGAATAACCGCCTGGGCAGATCATTAAAAAAAAAACTATAATTGTAATTATAATCATATTTTATTGTGTCCATCATCTTCTGTGATCAAACAAGACAGGATAACTTTCATAGTGATGACTATGACAGACTTTTTCCAGTAGTCTTTGTTCGAGAAAGGCAGATTTCTATGAATATTATTACAAATACTTGTTAGCTTTTTTAAAACCTTTGTTTTAGCAGTATAATAAAAAATTCATACATAGACATAACCAATAACTTCCGCGCTGTTTATCTAGAAGACGTTAACTTTTTCACTTTAAATATTTTACCGTAACAGTTAAGTAAGTGGCATAATAAACTGGTCATTTTTGATCTATTACCTTGGTAATAGCAGAAGCGATAGTTAAATTTTCAAAATGAATCGTTGATAACAGCAACTAAAATTCTGCTTTTTACTATGATAGAGGCACCTGCTGGTTCTCAAAACCTCCTGCTGAGGTCGTCAAAGGCCAGCAGCAACTGTTCACCAAAACATTAAACAGTTCTGTGTTTATGCGTATCATTAGACAAGTGTCATATTCCTAACTGTCAAAATAATGTCTCATCTCTATAGGAAAACCAGAAAAATAAAAAAAAATAAATCTAAAATTATAAATTCACAGTTTTTCAGTAGCAAATTATCGGTGAAAAATTATGAACTTTAAGAGATGATGATAAATACACAACACAGTTCTTAGTAAAATCCACAAAAAAAAAAATTTTTTTTTTCCATTATAGTTCTTTGAAGAAAGTTAGAGCAAAATTAACTAAAGTTGCGAAATAGACGAAGACGAATAAAGAGAAGCAGAAGAATAAAAAGTGGATTCTAAAAAATAAAAATTTAAGAAATTGGAAAAAACAACAAATAAAATGAAGCGAAAGTTTTATTTGAAAATAGAAAAACAGCTGAACGAATCAACAGATTTAAAAATTAAATAACAAATAGTAATAGCCACAAACGACAAGAAAAAAAAAAGGCAATTTCTTTGCAAGCCTTCTGTAGCCATTGACCAACAAGAAAGGTGTAAGTCGTTGTTAACACAGATGTCTTAAGTCGATATTAGTAGTTAATTAAAAAACAGCTTCCTATTACAACATCAATAAATTGTAACAAGGTAACTTTATAGTCGTCGTTGACTGCAGCCAAATTACTAGTTTTGTGGTGAATGAATGTAACCAGTAATGTGATATTCTATCATTCACAAAATCCGTCGGATTCTCAGCACTTTGGTTTTGACTCTTTCTTACAGTCATTCCCCTCCGTGCGCAATTCATTGTATCAGTACCTGTCAGAATACAACTTCCAAACACTTTCTCAATAATAATAAATTTCTCAATAATATCCATTACTGTACTTTCCTACTACTTATTTCGCATTCCTACTTATTTTATTCCTGCTTTTTTTCCAAACATTTTGTGATATACAAATTTAATATGTAACACAATAAATTTGAGTCTTCTTGTTTTCTGGCTGACAAACATCAGAAGAACCTTATTGTTGATGCCAATGTACACTGCAATACCCCGTAAACCGATAACATATTGTATCTGATAGTCAACGCAAATAGTGGCATCACTTGTCGAAGTCACCAAAAACCTGCCTTCTATCAAGAAATCCATTAGTCGGCTTTAGTTTGATTTAAAAACTCATCTCAAAAGCGATAAGATTAGGGCGATTAAACATCAAAAGACTGATAAACTGTTCAAAAATTATGGCAATAACAAAAAATTTGAGTTGTTCAAAATCATTTAAAAAAAAAATAATTTTGTTTAAAAGTTTAAAACATAACATTTTCACAAAAAATGTAATTTGTAACCAAAGTAACAATCATAATATTCATATTTGCAAATACTTTTTTATAGATAAGCAATAAAATTGACTTTGTCAAATATTTCACTACACCACTGCTTGCTTAATTCCAGCTGCAAAATGAAATTTAAAAAAAGAAAGAATCCGAAACAAATTGGTCAAACAACTTAGTTTTAAGATCATATAGACTACTGGTATACTGGTAGGCCAATTGTTTCCACAAACAAAAATCGTATGATCCACCAGTGATGGACTAACACTGTCGTCAACAAACTGGGGACTGGGGGTAGACCAAACAGTTATGAATTAAAAAATGACCATGACACAATGTTGTTGAAATATTGTAACACAAAACCTATTATCAGATCTCTTGAGAATTATTAACCTGTAACCTTTACGTACAACTATAAACTACTCCACTTTCCCATGCCTCGGCCAAATGGTTTACACCAAAAGTTATAAACATTTTTTCTGATTATTGGCGCTTATAAAAGTAAGTGTTGCAACAAGAAATGTTAGCATATAAATATTAGAATCTACTTTATTCACAGACTGCATGGTCCAAAATACAGCCTTATGTTTAACACATAACAACAAAGCGAGAGGCACTTATGTTCTGTTGTCAGTACAAACAGCAAAAAAAAAAAAAAAAAAAAAAAAAAAAAA